TGAGTAGGGTTTCGAGACTACCATCTCATTAAATAACATAGTCCTTTGTCAGTGAGAAATACAAGTTTGCCTAGTCGATAATCTTACCATAAAAAATGATATGGTGAGCCTGGCTAGCCTCTAATTTCACGTCTGTGACCCACAACCCATGTTTATGTCCTGTTACTCAGGGGCCCTCATGGTAGTGTGGCATGGTCGTAATTTGCAAAAGTTATAGGCTGCACTACAATGGGCCGATTCCTATTTGGGGTGGTGATGAAACGCAAGCGATGTCTAGGTTGCAGTCCAGTCTAGATGGGAATACCTCCTTGGAAGCAAAGCTAATGGAAATGTAATGGTAATGTATGACCCACTTATTTGATTATGAAAAAACTCATCTATCGGTCTTTACTCACCTTTGGGGCGACCCAGGGTAACTGAAACTCTCATTCAGAATTCTTTTATTACTTCTAACATTGTGGTACGAAATCCGTGTAAATTTACTTAATTTCTGTGTGTTCAGTCACTTCTGATTTCCGGAACAATAAACTTTTGAAGAATCTTTTGTGTTCAGACAACCTCTTGTATGTGGGCCGGCTGGTCTCCCCGACCTAGATACCATTTCATCTTATCTATAAAACAAGTAAGTATGTCTCATCTCTCATTACACATGATTCTAACGTCTCTTTTCCAAGTAGTTTGCCTTTTTTGAGAAGGCTGACATGACCGTAGAGTTGGGTACGTGGTAAATTAACTGTTTTTCCTTAATAATTTGCCTCCCCTAATTCTGCTTCTTAATATTATTAAATAAGTAACAATTTAGCCTTATGGATACTTGTTATAGAGACGAAATTTCTCTAAACTTTCTAACTCTTGACTTTAGTACTACATTTCGTAAGACGAAAACTCCCATTTTAACCCTATTAGCATGATAAGAGAAGAAACTAACGAGAAAATCCCTACTTTATTTGTTCCCTTGTTTACCAATCAGCACAACCAAAAAAGGCACCTTTTAAGATCATTGTCATCATTAGCACAATTAATATCTGTTAACCTTGTTTTCCTTGTTACCAAATAGCAAGTTATTCATTCTTAAATCTAACCAAATGCTTAATCACTAAAAGTTGAGACAAATACTATTTCATAGCCATCAGCCAAATTAATCCTCTGAAAGAATTCTATAAATCAATTCTAAGTATAAGTAGGTTTCGAGATTATAATCTATTCCTGACTAAGAGCTTAGTCACCGGATCGTTTTAGGTAATTTTATGTGTGATAATTCCGTTTTTCTCACAATAACATTAATAGATCTTATAAGCTCATTAGAGTTCGCTAAATCTTGTTTAACAAAGGCCTATTTCATTCAGGATGAACTGCAGTCATGGGCACCAGGGAAACTTTTGCCGCTCTACTACATAGTAACTGGAGCCAGTGAGTCAAAAAGCAGAGAAAACCTTAAAAACAAGCCATGTATCTATCAAATTTCTTTTTTTTGTGAAATCGTCGACTTAATATCATTCCGATTGACACCGTTACTTATTTTCGATGCAAGCAGGCTTCCAGAATATCACTAAAATAGTGAAGAGGAAAAACTCAACTATCCGTCCTTAACCCTCTTTAAGCGACCTATGGTAAGTAAGTTATTAATTTTGGAAACGTAGACTCGCTTCTGGGTTCTGAGTTGGCCATGCGCTCAGCTAATACAGATTTTCGGGCCCACAGTCCTTTGCAGTTTGTAGTGTGTTCCGATCAATTTTGCAGTATCTGTAGATAGAGTTAGAAAATTCCCAAAATAAAGATCTTTTAAAGTGTTGAAAGGACGGTCACTGTTTGTCATGACCAAAATAGCTTTTTCTACCCCTCCCCTCCTGTTTCCCAGTATTATAAACTAATTGTCAATAAATCCTTATGGATAGCCGTTCTCTATCAAAACTTTCCTTAGCTTTTTCATCCATTCTTATTGCCGTAATGTAACTATGCTATCTCGCTTTCTTGGCTCAAGAGGTAGTACAGCCCTTGTTATTGGGGTGTAATGAATTGACACATACTATTGTGAAGACTTCGTGCCTTTGAGCTTACCAAGAAGCAGGAGTTTCACTTCGTTCCTCACAGACTTTTTGTCCTTGTTTAACTGTCGTTCGATCTCCTTGTTGATGCGCTGCTGCTCCCTCGATTCTTCACCGAAGCAGCAGGACATCGCGACTGAGCCAGTCAGAATCCTTCAAGGGCGTAAGGATGGGCCTCAGAGATTAGGGGGAGAGTTGTGAGGGCAGAAGGCGCCTGTTGAGAATCCTGGGGCTGAGAGTGAATCGTCGTCTGGAGACGAGTAAAATAACAATCCGCTCTTACCTGTAGACTAGAGAAAGTGTCCACAGGATAGGCAAGCCTGATTTGTCTTCATACATGTATTCAAGAGTGCGCACAAACACATACACACACAGGAAGATGTGTAAAACAATGACAACTGGAGGGGCTCCAACTTCTAGATATGACTTTTGTGAGTCTTCCTATCGTTTGAGTGTCTTCAAAGTGGCACTTGAAAATGTTAAACTCCGCCGTGCTTCGAGACGTCACGTAGACTTATGAGGCTTTCACTACCACCTGGATGTACTAGTGGACGAGGGGACATGATGCAACAGCCGATTGGACAGCTTTACCTCACTCGATAGGGACTATCTATTCCCTTGGGCGAGCCCCACTGGAGCATGGCAATCCGTGTATTAACTCTTGTCTACTTTCCTCATCTTTTTTCTTCGCCTCCTCACATGGAGAGAAGAGAAACCACTCGGCTCGTCTAAACCTCAGTACAGGGGGCACTAATCCTCTGCCGGCAACCTGGATCATATATCGCCCAATCGATCTCTTTGGCCGAAGAGATTGTCGCGAGGGCAGAAGATCAGACATTTGGCAGGACGATTCGATTGCCTCATGCTTGCATAGTGCTCCCAACAGCATTAAGCATCAGCATATTGCATTGAACTGTCTTCGTCGTATGCTAGAACGAACATCTTTCGACTTGGCCACGAGAGGAGGCTATCTTTGAACTAATAGCTCAATGCACGTGGCCTCACTTCAGCCACTTTCGCCTACAGCAAGGGCGCCTTAATGACTTCAGAGTCTTCCCCGTTTAAAACTATAATTATTAGTCTCTCACGTAATAAAATCCACTGAGTACATAAGTCACCGTGACGGCATTTCATGGGCTTCTAAATAGACGACGGAGCACAACTTCTCCTCTCACTCCATCAACCCCGAGAAACTGGCGCTAATCCTAGCGACGCCAATTACAAGCAGCAACAAAAACAAGCGTCTACTCTCACTAGACATAAGCCGCTCTTATCGTACCTGGTTCATCTATTTTAACTTGTAGAACTAAGCAACCCATTGCAATACTGTATTTTATTCTGCAGATGTGATGATGAAACAAATTTGGGTGAAGGAAATAAATCTTCTATTCTTCCCTAAACAGAGTCGGAAGTAAAAATGACGACATGTTATAAAGAATCGTTTTTAAAAGAAAATACATCACTTGAAAATACACTAACCGATAATTTAATTGAGTAGAGAGTATGTTTCGAGACTTTGGTAACTCTTACTTATATATATATATATTAATTTGTTTATATATATATATATATATATAAATAAGAACTCCTTTTGGGAAAGAAAGGTTGTATGTGGAATACAATGTAAACGTCAGATCTACTTACATCATTGTCGGAAAATTCAATTACCAGCCCTTCACCATTTTAAATGTAGTCGGTTGAACACAACTCATATATTATCAGTGAGTCTTGCCATTCTCAGCATTAAACTACAACTTTTCAAAGATGCAGGTGAAGTCAACCCCTTGACCAACTTTCTGCGGAACATTTTGAAGCATCTACGGTTTGTTAATGGAATAGAGACTGCGACCATATCGAGGGCTTCACCATCTCCGATTTAAGTGGTCTATTTTATTAAGTCCCTACTTGCAATTGGCAGTTCTAGGCCTATTTAATTTTAATACATGTTCTTTTAAGTGACATTTAATGACATAAACTCGTTTTTTCTACTAAATAATTATGGTCCTTAAATAAGTCAGTTTAATATTATCTGAATGTTTTCATAACACTAAATTTTAATTATGCATCTATTGGGTTTACGAGTCTGATAGGGGCATGTTATAGACTTCAATAATAAGTGGACCTTGATTCGATTTTCAGATACATCCCGATGTGGATATGTCGAAGGTGACCCTCTCCCTTAGAACAAACTAATGGACAAGTAAAGTTGTCCCGACAGAATAAGCGACACTGGGGATAGTTGCAATTAAAAATGACCTTTTTTGAATTGACTACATTAAAAACCCTTTGGAGTAAACCAACCATAAACCAACAACTCTAAGTACTGAGGCAATCTATTCAATGAAATTTCATGAAGAGCGCTTGTATAGGTGAATATTCAGCGTTATGTTGAGTTTCATTTCGAATGAAAATGTGAAGTAAAACTATGTGCATGTGGATCGCACCAGGTGACAACGCACATCTTCATCAACCCAATGTGGCTTGAATAAATTGACAAATATGTTATGATGCAGTCACCGAGGTATCCTCATTTGGCTTGTGTGAAGGAGTGCTACAATTTCGTCCTTATTATTAAAAAGATATTTTACTAAGGGTTATAAATGATATTGCAAGCCTATTTGTGTACCTGCGAAACTAATTTACCGGATTAGTTGCTACTTAAGGCTAATTATCATATATACCTTATTTAAAATAGCACCAGTTTAGTAAAGAAAAAATATCATAAGGATGCGAATTGATGCTGTGTAGGGAGTTTGGGAACTTGACTTTTAATCCTGTTTTTTACCAAATATATATTTGTGAGAATGAGGCGAATTAAGCCCTTTTTAAGAAGATTAATTCATTCTCCTGTTAGGATCACCTTTTGAAAAAAATATGACCCATCATCCCTATTAGCCAGCCATGCAGTGCCGTGTTCATGTGGTTGCTTTTCTGCTGGAATGTCTCCTTGACCCAGTGAGCAAATGCGTGATTTTTGTATTCTAGTCTGCAAGGACTCAAATCGGGCCGGATTGTGGCCACGTTGCCTGGCTCTAAGCACAAGCGTCATAGAAACAATGTTTAAAAAATGAGGAGAAGCTGAACTCCGAATAATCTCTTGGTAGATTGATATTGGCATACCTTTTAATTCGTTTGAGAAGGTGGTTGGAGAGGATTCGTAAATTAACCTTACCGGATACCGGAGGAGTGTTGCTTTGGACTTGTGACTTGTCATCTTAGCACAATTAAATAGTCAGTCCGAGGCAACCCACCTTCTGTATCCGGTGTGGCCAACTTACGAATCTCTTCTACCCGCCTTCTCAATTAAATGAAAGGTATGCCAGTATCAATACACAAAAGCAACAGAGACGTGAATTAATAAATATGAAGCCAAGTGGTGAAGAGACGTTTAGATAAGTTGTATATGAGTTGCCACAATAGAAGCAAAAAATGATAATAAAAAAATGCAAGAGTGGGTGAGAAGTGACTATTTTAAGCCATAATATTCCATTTTAACCCTAAATAAAAATCTCGCATTTGCGAGCTCTATAGATGGGGTTTTAATGTATGCGCAAATAACTCAGTGCATGTAAATACATTCGTGTAAGATAATCGTAGGATTTAAGTGCTTTTATATGACCTATCTACTATTAGATCTTCCTTTCGTATCATAATTTAAGTAAAAGGGTTAGTAAAATGAGCGTTAATTTGAACCGAAGGAAAAACTTATCTCGTTTTTACTTCTGAAATGAGAAAATAAGTCCTCTGTGTAACGTTTCAGACACCTCAGAATTCGTGTTGCCCTTGCTAAGATGGCATCTTTAGAACGAAAAATTATTCTTTGAAAAAATTACCCATAAGCTAAGCATCCAGTAATCTAGTAAATATCCCATCCCATTAATTTTGTTATAGGAGACGTAAGCTCTAATATCATAAGACCATTTAGAGACTCTTTGAAACCCAGCTATTTATCATTTATACTTCTGAGCTCTAACTTGGATTCAATTTCTAATTTATTGAAAAATGTTTTGTTATACATCTTGTTTTTGCTTGATGTTAAATGAATAATCATCTTTACTTTGTTACTCTGACTTCTCCCCAAAGGAATAGAAGTGATACTGCCTACTGGTAGAGTAAATATATAAATTTCCTTGTAACTTGCATTATTTACCTTATGTGAGGTATTAATAATTTTGAGGTGAATTGAATATCTTTAAGTATCTATAAATCAAATTTAATAAATCGTCTACCAAACCAGTACTTCTCCTAGCTTGACTTTCATACCTTCCTGTAACTTGAGTACACCATAATCACCCATAAAATAGGAGAATAATGGCCATATCCTTAGCTTGATGATTACAATACAAGGTATAGATTTTCTTTGCTTTATTTTTACCTAGATGCAGCAAAATAATTCGCCATAATTTTACTAATTGATGAGGACTTCAAATTGTCCCAAATTTAGGAAGTACGATGAATAATGGAAATTTTTTGAAAACAATATTTGATCAACTGATCTTCCTAGCCCTAATGAAGCAAGGTTCTGAATTATGATATTCTCAAAAAGAATTACGAGATTTCATGTTTTCAAAGAGAATAATTAAAAAATATTGGTTCTATTTAGCCCGTCGAAAAAAAAAAAGATTAATTTGACGATTTTATCCTTCAACAGAATTTAATTTTGCTACCATTATAGTAGTAAATAGCTCCACTAAGTTAATGAAGTATGTAGCAAATATCAGAGGAAAATCTGTCATTATAAGAGAAATAGGATACGTACTTGTAGTGAATCATCCTCTCCAATGGACTAAATTTACGGTCCAACTCTGGTAATTATCATAACTACTACTTGAACGTGTCAAGCTCCCATTATGCACTGTCACGGTTCGACTCCCGCAATGTGAAATTTAATGGAAGCGCTAGCTCTATTTATATCATCGTGGGAAAATTCTACTTCATCACCTTAAACGAAATAGGGGGAATACATCTCATATTACTGATTTACTGGTAGTCTTGAAACTCTACTCAAATACTATAGAGGACTTCGGAAGAGGCGCGGCCAACTAGGTCGCCGCTATAACGATTGCAAGTTGCGAAAACGAGGTAAAATCACTTTTATACATCGAAAGGAGAGTGCAACCAAAATAGAGGCCACAACATCTCAGTCTTCATATATGCGATTAAACTACGACAGTAAGATTGCTATACAATGCACTGAATATAGCCGGACAAAATGGAC